CTCATCCTTTGTGTCCTTCGTTATGTTGTCCTGATCTTCCCAGAGGTAATCACGTGACGTAAGTCCGTCCAGAGTCTGCTGTGCTTCCTCACGTGTTACAGGATCTTTATCACCGTACGCTAACTGTAGTATCCTATTATTAAGCAAGTCCAGCCACTCTGTGTCAGTGAAATCAGGAGGACCGGAGTGAGAACACAGAAAACAGAATAACACCATCACCTCGTCTTCAGTCAGTGTGCAGAATTGATCTAGATAAATAAAATGAAATATCATGAGTAACTATGCACAAGAAAAAGTCAGTATTTACAACATAGAATTCATGGATTATACCGGTATTCTTGCCCTGAAGTTGTATATACAAACTTGTTATGTTCATCTATTTAGAGTTGCCTTTTGTTAATTTTTTAATTGTCAGATTTAACCGTAAACATCTAACTATGATCGTCAGAAATGATTAAAAATAATCATTAAAATATCTCCGATTTTACAACTACATGTATGTATCATAGAAACTTCGGGCTGCTAACCCTTCCATTTTTTTTAATTCTGGAGTGCATAAAACTTTGTCCTATTTTTGCGTTCTTTTATGCACTACTTATCTAATATCGATAAAGTAACCCTTCTGTATCAATAAGCTTTTTAAAACTATTCAAGACATGTTATATCCTATGTATCAGTCGAACCAGATATTATTAAAACCAGCTACGATATCAGGTAGTGCATGTTATACATAAACAGGACAAAAATGTTGAAGGGGTTGGGGTCCAGCCCCAATTAAATGCCTATTCTATATGTTTAATAAACTAGTTGCACTACATTTTAATATTCCGGTATGTGGTCAATAAAAATGGATATGGAACATGGTAAAAAAAAATATTATCTATTAAATATCAAATATGAGGAGAAAATTCCTGTCATTGTTAGGTTTTAACCGGCATCGAGTAAGTGGTATAGTTTTCTTAGTTTCACCATAATTTTTAAGGGTATGGATCAAGTATTGTATGGTTTAAGGACAGATGATACAAACATTTTTTTTCTTTGAAAAAGATTTAAAATATCATGTCACAAGTTTAGAAACGTGTTTGGTTCTCAGAATTTTTTCTCCTAAGAAGTGGAATATCATAAAGTCTTATACCAATCCGGTTGAATTTTATTAGGAAAACCTAAATCGTAAAAATCAGCCTATGTGATATTGCTAATTTTTTGTCAGTTTGATCTTCCTCTTAAAATTCAACTGGCTTGGTATAATTTTTTAAGTTTATATTACACTTTTAGCACCAAGATAACATATTCTGAAATTGTTTTCACCTGTAAAACTTTACTGAGTGTGATTTGTCAATATTTGTTTTTTTATTGAAATATTACTAATATTTTCCAAGTCTATTTGATTTTTCCAGTTCCTCGGAGAAAAAATTCTAAGAACCATCCACTTTTCAAACTTGTGACATGATATCAAATCTTTTTGAAAGAAAAAAATGTTTGTATCATCTGTCCTTAATTTCTGAATTTCATACGACGGTAGCTGTAAATCCAATGTAGACTTCGTTTGATTTTATGTCTCTATATATTAGAGAGTTTTTTTTCCTAAGAAAATTATCATTAATAATAAACATGACAATCAAGAAGTAACAATATGTAAGTACCGGTTAATGTTTGTGAGGGGAGTAGTTATTTAGAGATAATTGAATAAATACAAACCCAAAAGCTCTGTCTTCCATGTGTTGTAATCACCCAGGTAAATACGCTGTACTTGATCTAAAATTAAAATGAAAATAATTATTTAGCAGAAAATTTTGAGAAAAACTATGATTTATTTATATTTCCATTTCTATTTTTTTTTCTCTGTGATAACTTTGAAAGTTAGCGGAGTTGATTATTGATAATTCTACCGAAATTTAAATTAAGCAGATCAATAGATCAGGAGCTAAGGAGGCCTAATATGTATGCAAATCTCGTGCGCATCTGTCTCTGTGTCTGAGGCTAAAGAAGCCAAATATGCATGTAAATCGCATGCAGCTGCACTTGTGCTTGACAAAAATGTTTGTATCATCTGTCCTTAATTTCTGAATTTCATACGACGGTAGCTGTAAATCCAATGTAGACTTCGTTTGATTTTATGTCTCTATATATTAGAGAGTTTTTTTTCCTAAGAAAATTATCATTAATAATAAACATGACAATCAAGAAGTAACAATATGTAAGTACCGGTTAATGTTTGTGAGGGGAGTAGTTATTTAGAGATAATTGAATAAATACAAACCCAAAAGCTCTGTCTTCCATGTGTTGTAATCACCCAGGTAAATACGCTGTACTTGATCTAAAATTAAAATGAAAATAATTATTTAGCAGAAAATTTTGAGAAAAACTATGATTTATTTATATTTCCATTTCTATTTTTTTTTCTCTGTGATAACTTTGAAAGTTAGCGGAGTTGATTATTGATAATTCTACCGAAATTTAAATTAAGCAGATCAATAGATCAGGAGCTAAGGAGGCCTAATATGTATGCAAATCTCGTGCGCATCTGTCTCTGTGTCTGAGGCTAAAGAAGCCAAATATGCATGTAAATCGCATGCAGCTGCACTTGTGCTTGACTTCAGTGGGCGACGACTGTTGAAATTTGCATGGGAGTCCTCATGTAATTTAAATATTTGTCTATATATTATAAGTATAAATCTACAATTTTATTTCATTGTGAAATGGAAATATAAGGAATCCTTATCTAGTTAGTATAGTATGCCAGGGAAATCAACGATAGTGGCAAACATGGGATAACTTATGCTTTGTTCTCCTTAATTTGCCTTGTCATATACATTTCTACTGAATATATGCATGTATATATTTATATTTTTCATTGTTATATTAATAATGTTTACTTGCACATGTATGATTTTGACCTTGTATTGTGGAAAGGACTTATATAGGCAGTGCCTGCTGTCCAATCCAATTATGTTTTATTATAATAAAATATTGTTTAAATTAAAATTAACTTATGCATAACGGGCTTCGACCGATACGCAAATTATCTCATGTTTCCCACTATCGTTGATGCCCTGGCATACCATACAAACTAGACAGTGATTCCTTAAGCAAATCATTAAGTTCTATTGCAGTATGTCAATTCTGAATTTGTACCTCTGTTATAAAGTATCATTGCATAATAATATTAGTATACAACGTAAAATTTTCGGAATATTCTCCAATGGCAATCCATGAACAATTATCCAAACTCCCAAGGGATGGATGAACGGATGCTAGTTCAATCTTATCCGCCGTAAATACTGTGTACATGTATTGTTTTGTAAAGGTCGGGGAAAAAAGCTAAGGATATGCGCAGGGCTCCGAGTGTCACCGTTGATTACGCGTGGAGATGTACAACAACAATGAACATAAACAAATAAAAAGCATATCCTCAGATTTGAATTCGGCATGTAATGTTTCGTGATCTTCACAAAGGTCACAGAGGTCAATATCAATATAATAAAGCTGTAAAATTTCTGACGTTGTACATGTAATATCTTTAATACAAAAAGCATTTTAATCGGATTCTTAAAATGAAGATAAATAATGACGTATGACTGCGTTCGAACATTTGGACGGAAAGACCTGGTGGCTGTTCACAAGGAAAGAAAATCTTTCAATAACAGACTTTAGACTGGCGGATATAAATTCTACGTTTAAATAACGTCACCCCAAAATGCCAAAATCTATGAATGATTGAGAAAAAAACATAACAAACAAAAATTTTAATCAAATGAGTATTTACTAATTTAGGTATATTAAAAATTGCAAATATTATGTAGCATGAAGGCTTTTTGTTGATGTTTAGTTAATCTGTTATTCTGAGAGACATATTTAAAATATGTAAAATTACCCTTAAACAGTGTCCAAATGTTAATTTTGTGTATACAATGTAATTATAGCTGCTAAAAAATTAAGGAGACGAGAGTACAAACTCAAAATATATGTTATTTTTTTCCGAAATGCAAAGAGGGTGTTGCAGTTCTCTTGTTATTTCCTTTAAATCTGGAGAAGATTTAAAGAAGGATTTTTATGTTGCAGAAAATTATATTTAATTTTTTTTTCGAATGCAACAATATATAAAGCACAACGAGAAACAATATTTGGAAGGTGTGTATTGACTTTAAAATTGCCATTAAATGATGTGAAAATTAGTCTTACGGCAAAATATTTCCATTCTATTTTTTTTCTCTGTGATAACTCTTTGAAAGTAGTCGGAGTTTATTTTTAGACATTTCTGCCGGAATGTAAATTAGGAAGGTAGATATGTCAGGAGCTAAGGAGGCCTAATACGCATGCAAATCTCGTGCGCATCTGTCTCTGTGTCTGACGCAAGGGGGCCAAATATGCGTGTAAATCTCGTGCGGCTGCCTTTGTGTTTGACGTCAGTTGGTGAGTACTATTGAAATTGGCATGGAAGACCTCGTGTGATTTAAGTCTACGTCTACATTTTCGAAGTCTAAATCTACAATTTTATTTCACATTGAAAGGGAAATAGAAGGAATCACTGTCTAGTTTTGAGAGTATGCCAGGGACATCAACAATGGTGGGAAACATGGGATAATTTGAGTATAACGGGCTTGGCCCGTTATGCAAATTATCCCATGTTTCCCACTATTGTTGATGCCCTGGCATACTCTCAAAACTAGACAGCGATTCCTTAAATATATCAGATTTTTGATTTTTAAATAGGGAATCCCCATTGTTCTGTAAAAGTGCCTCGTTGACACAAAATAATTTTGTTATATACTCAAACAGGCAGGAATTTTCTTAAAAACTGCTATTTCCGATTTTTGTTTCAAGGAGACACATTTTTGAAAAACGCATAAATTAAATAAAAATTGTTCTCCAAAGGAAATGCAAAAGGTGTACTTTAGATAACAATGCAAAACCATTGTATCCGAAATGGTCTAGTGGATATGCTGGTGGGCTTCCTAGCCAATACTTGTACCAGGGAATGGGTTCAAATCTAGGTATGGGTCATTTTTGCATATTTTTTCGACATGAAATGGGCAATGAAATTATATATTTATTTGAAAGAGTGTAGAGAAGGAATGTCAAGAAATTAATTAAGTAATAACTATATTTTATAAATGCAGGATTAAATTGCTTTCCTTGATATTATGTGACTTAAAACTAATGCTTTGGTTAGTTTTGTCTTGGAACAAAATAAATGACTGTATTAATTAAATAATTTCTTTCTTTACATACTGTGGTTATTGCAATTTTGGTCTCTCATTTAGTAGCCAAGATTTGATTTGAAACAAATAAAATATCTTGGTTGTAGTACTAACAGTGTGATTATTGCACGCAGTTTTATTTCATCAAAAAATTTTCGCACGATATATACGGTATTTTTTTTTCAAAATGCTGCTTTAGCCATTATGCTTTTTGTTGGTCCAGTCTCTTTCGTGCAAAATGACGAGTGTGCGTTTTGCTGCACCAAGCAGGAAATACCTGCTGTAAACCTGGTCCTCTACGTAGTTCTATCTATTATTAGACATAAAGAGGGTATTTAAATATCATTCTCGATTTATAGGTACATGTAATAATCGTGAGTTTCTGCAACACTCTCTTTCTCTAAAAACCTGTCAAACGTAGAATTAACTTTGGGCTGCCTAATATGTCATCTTTTATTTAAAAAAAAAAACTTACTTTAGTCTATCTGCCTGATTTCAGAAACTCATTTATGAAACACAAGTAATATAATTTTGTACAAGTACCCCTCGAGAGATATTTAAAAACACATTTACAAGAAGTGTATGTGAAACACTTATGCTCATGTATGGCAGCTTATGGCGAAGTTTCTCAATGCAAGTCAAACTCCCAAGTTCAAGGATAAAAGGTTATAATTATTGGTTTCCAAAGTTATGCTTTGTCACCAGAAATACAGCTGTACAACTGTGAAATATGAAAGCGCTAGTGCGTATTACCTTAACTTTAAAAGTTATGGCAATTGTTAAAGTTTTCAAAATAGAGTCAAACAGTCAGGTCAAGGTAAAAGGTCCTAAAAAACGCATCCCCTGTGAAAGGGTTTATCACAATGAATACACACGTGAAGTACATGTATGAACGTATAAAGTATGCATTTTTTAGGGGGGGGGGTGTTGTAAAAGTGAAAGTAAAAACTATTTCAATTAACATAAAATTGATGTTAAATTTTACGTAAATTTGATCTTAATTTTGTATTGAATAAACTTTAAAATGGTTTACATAAAACAACGTTTAGGTTAGAAGCATTTGTAGCATTATATTGAAGATATCTGATTAAAATTATTTTTGATTGAATTGGTTACCCATTACTCAATTGGATATATTCAAATTCCTGTATAAGCTCGATTAACATTCATTTATCGTTACATGTAATTATATACCGTAAAATTAATATTATTTTCATTTTAAATTAATGTTGGAAAAATTAACTGTATAGAACTTTGCCCTACCATATATATGTAACACCTCTTATTTAGGGATCATGAAATGCACGATTTTGGAACAGACACATTTCGACAGCACAACTGTGAATTACGTTTGTTTGTTTTATACTCCGAAGCAGAGAAAATGTTTTCAAAAAAATAATGCATCTTTTCTTTATTATTTATACAGTTCTTACCGTTCACGGTAGCCTAGTGGTAGAGCGTTCGCTTCGTGATCGGGAGGCCCGGGTTCGATTCTCGTTCCCGGCGCCGCGTCAAACCTAAGACGTAAAAATAGGTAGCGACTGTTCCTTCGCCAAGCGCTCGGCATCAAAAGTGAAAGTCACGGGTCTTTCGGATATGACCTTAAAAACGTAGGTCCCGTGTCACTGTAGGCGCTGGCACGATAAAGAACCCTCACTGCTCAATGGCCCTGAGTGCCGAGTATAGGTCTAAATTTGAAGCCCTTCACCGGCATACGGTGACGTCTCCATATGAGTGAAAAATTCTCAAGAGGGACGTTAAACAATATACAATCAATCAATCAATATACAGTTCTAATCTAGCAGGAGAACGACTGGCCCAGGGACTGTTAATTTTGAAAGTTTGGTAGAACACTCAATGCTTATATATTACAGTCATGTTAACAGTTTTACGGCTTGACATTCAGAAGTAAAGAAGATTACATTCTATTTAGTAGATTTTCATCACCCCACAGCTAGGGCTCCCGCGGAGTCAGTGACCATGAAAAAAATTTTTTGGTCCTCTTCACGCATAGTTGCTATTATAATAGATGCTATCATGATATGCCCAATTAGTTAAAATTGATTGGCCTTTTTCAGGGATGATTGATTGAATGTTTGTATATTATTTCACGTCCATCTCGGGATTTTTTCACTCATATGAAGACGCCACCACTTGTTGGTGGAAAACTGCAATTTTTGTTCTATACTCAAGACTCAGTGCCCTAGAGCAGGAAGGGGTCTTTTCGTGACAGCACTTACTACGACACGGGGCATCAGTTTATACGGTCTCATCCGAAGAACTGGTCTCCATGTCCCACTGTGGAATTCGAACCCACGACGTAAGTACCAACTCCTTACTTCGCGACTCTGGAGAAGATGCTCTAATCACTGCACCAGGCGGGCGACCTTTCGGGGAAGTGTTCAAATGTTAAAAAAACATCGCACGTCGGACTACACGCGATGCAAGACGGCAAATGAAAACATATAGGAATAGGTTACCTGAGATAAATCTAAAACTGCCTATAATTCTAACAATTATTAAATGAAGAAAATTTCACACCTTTTCTTATAATTATCATAATTATACCTTTAATGTAGGAAAACATGGTGCAGAAGATTTGTTTCTTGAAGAATCCTCATTTACGCGGCTTAGTTAATATGTAATGATCTTGATTTCATTCAAAATAGTAATCAACTGTTATTAAAAAAAACATCCCAAATCAATACAGTGAGCTTTATCAAATATTATTCCCCGTCTTTTGTGTTGAGAGAGAGACTGGTAAAATTACGAATAGGTGTTTCTCTTTGTTCAGGGACATTGCATATTTCATTTTTTGTTGCACTTCTTCAGTTCTTGTGTATTGTTGGTATTATTATCATTTTCCTCTAGTGAGATCCCTTAAAACATAAGAGTGTTTTATTCTATTCAATTCACCTCAAAAACAGGAATTACAGAATAAAATTCAGGAAAAGAATTACCTGGGAACGTTTCATCCACCTTTTCTTCCAACAACTCTTTAGCTTCATCTTTAAAAAAAATACAATTAAGAAGATGAAAAAACAAATTCATAGATCGCCTGAAATTAAGAACAATTTAATGATACAGTATCAAAAATACAAAATATATGGACCATCTTGAAAATGAATAAGAGGTTCATGTCTCCCATTTTTCTGACTTTTCAGTCTTTAAAAATTTTGAAAAGGGCAATAACTCCTTCTAAGGTTTCAAGCATTTTTATTATACATGTAGTACTTCTAATGTAAAAAAAAATTCAGATATTCATAACTCATAAGTCTGTTATAAGTAGCATGTATTTCAGAACTTTTAGCATCATAGTTATGCTTTTGAGCCTGTTGTTATATACTTTATAATACTGTTCATAAAAATGTACACTTTTGTATGTTGACATACATCTAGTTATTTGTGTTTCCGACCTTAAATAATATGACATCTTATGCATTTCTAGCAACAATTAGTATATCTAAACTTTATTGCACGAAAATGTAGTTTTTGTAATTTGAACCTAAGAATTGGGAGGATAAAGAGATCTTAATTCAATAAGTCTTATGTAACCTATTTCCCTTTTTTCAGAGAGAGAGAGAGAGAGAGAGAGAGAGAGAGAGAGAGAGAGAGAGAGAGAGAGAGAGAGAGAGAGAGATAGAGAGAGAGAGAGAGAGAGAGAGAGAGAGAGAGAGAGTTTAATGAAAGTATACCTCTGGTATCATCTTCATGAAAAGACGGCTCTATTTGTCTTGGAACATTGTAACGATTTTCCTTTGGTGTTCTGGTCTTATCTTTAAAAAAGTGATACTCAATGTAACATAAAAACCTTTATTACATTCAGATCAAAAACAGGTAACACAGCATAAAATTTCCAAAATAAGCAACCTAGAGTTCCATCCACCTTTGCTAGCAACAACTCTTTACCTTCAACTTTAAATAAATGAAAAAAAACAGTGGAATGAAATTTAGAAGAATGACATAATATAATAAAATATACCATCTATTTTTACATATTGAATACTATTCTGTAAAACGTACATACTTGAGATATGTTCTTGTGCATCATTTTTCTGACTCTTTTTTCTTCTCCAAAGAACGACAGCTAATATTAGAATAACAGCAAGTATGAAGAGGAAGGCAACTAGACCGCCCACAATCTCTGCTACATGAGATGTTTCTGGAGGGGGTATTGTCGGTTGCACGTCCAGTGTGGTGTTGCTTGAAGTAGTGTTCAGTGTGCTATATATAATAAGGCAAATCAAGTTTATGCAAAGGAAAAATGGAAGGCGAACACGCTATAATATAACCAATTCAAACTGGTAATAGGTCGAAAGAACGGTAATATTTATATTATATCTCTTCAATCAAAGAATCAAGAAGAAAAAATAAATTAAAGTACAGATTAGAGAAAGTAAATTGAGCTCACTCGCATTGTCTGACCTGCTCAGATATTTGCATAATATATTTATTGATCACGAATAAAACAATCATTAATAAAACTTGAGCTCGTGCTAATGTTTTCATATCACACCTGTAGTTCTCTTACAAATCACATACTTAATTGTCAGTGCATTTTTAGAATTTTCCTGAAAGTACAATATAATTAAAAGAAATAAATTTAGAAAAATACAAATGCGTCTTTGTATAAGAATGGCATTGCAACCGAGCTGGGACTCTTAAAAAGCGAAAAATTATCTTTCCAAATTATCCCTCTCCTTGCAAGGTCACGAAAGGAAAATAACGCGATCGCCATGCCCAGTTTTCTGTCTGACTTTTTCCAAAAATCCATGTTTTTTTTCTTTTAAACATTTTAAGTTACCTAAATCCAATGTTCCAATGAGCTTTCCTTATCACATTTTGTCCATTTGTTCCCGTAGTTTTTCCGTCAATGAAATTTTTGACAATTTACACCTTTTCAGATCTACCACTGGGCCAATTTCAACCAGACTTACTACACATTAAACATTCCTTGATTAAGGGAATTCAAATTTATTTAAAGTACCAAGCTTTCTTTCAAGGTGAAATATTGACGAAATAGTGAAAAAAAAAACTGTTTTCCTACAAATATTACTGGACCACTGGGCCAAAAGATTTTTAAATCTATATGAAATATTCTACATATACCTACAGTGACATGCCAAAATTGATACAACTTTTTCCCGAAGTTTTTTTTTTTTATGTTTTTTTATTCTCTTTGCATTTTGATATATAATTCAAAATCAAAGCACTTTTTAAAAAAATGTTGAGTTGATACAAATAATATGGAGTATGATTTCCCATTGCACCACATTTCAGTTGCTTCCCCTTTTTAACTCTCTAGTGTTTTCATTGTAAACAATCGAGAGCAGACGACAAGAAATGTCAGGGGAACAAAGAAAACTGGCTTTAGATTTGTACCTTCGAGGTGAAAAACAAAGTGATTTGGCAGAAATATTTTCTGTGAAAAAATCTACAATTTATAGACTTGTGAAGAAATACGAGGGTCATTCAATAAATAATGCAACATATCATCTAAAATTAAGAAAAGAACGTAATACATATTGTTAATACTTTCAATCGGTAAAGGCATTTCCTGTTAAGCTTTACTTGTGTCTTAGGTCTTTGTATCTATAAACAGAAATCCTCAGCATACGCATCTTTATGGATGCCCCAAAGACACTGATGAATATCATTTTCCATGACATATTTGCCGTTGTACAATCTTCCTTGGATTGTTTTCATGTGTTATGGAAATGAAAAGTTCTCACAGTGGCTATGATCAAGCTAATATGGGGGCCTGAAAAGTCTTATAATTTCTTTTCTTCAGAATCCTATTTATTTCTCTATGCATATTTGCAGCTGCTTTGTCAGTCACAAGAAAAAATATCCTGATCACCAAATTTTGGACTTCTTTTTCTGGAAATCCTCTAAACTTTCCTTTTTAAAATTTGAACATAAAACTTAACATTGCTAGTCATTCATTTCGATGTATGTACATATTTTAATGGACCTTTTTAATTACACAAAAATAATAAAACATGTTTGGAGCCATTGCTTCTCTTTATCATTATTACATGACACCTTTTTCTTTGATTCACATTTTTTTATCATTACTTTTATTTTTACGGCTTTAAAAAGTGCACAAATATTTCGTCAAACATTTAGCAAGTTTACCAATTTGTCTATTTTGTTTAAACAGTTTTTAAATAGATCGTTGTCAAATTCAACGCATGTTTTCTCTTGGGTAATTGTGAGAAAATAGGGTACCTATCTGATGGAAATATTGTTATGTTTTTCCTTTGTCAAAAGTCTACAAAATGCAGTGGCGATCAAAATATTAGTCCTGTATAATATGTTTACATGAAAAATATTACATTTTCAAATTTCATGTGGCACATAAAGTCGATAATTTTTGGTGTCCCCACAAATTTCAATTTACCACATTGACTGTTATAATTGAACTTGTTTTCTTTCTTCTGAATTTTTTTAATCCATTTAAAAAGTATACAGCGTCAAAGACATTTTTTCTAAATATGAAAAAATATATCATAATATGAGGTTTTCGGCGACTTTTGTAAAATGCACAATTTTCATGCAAATACGCTCTTATTTCCATCTTCTTACAAAGATAATTTATAAACAGTTTTCAGCTCAGTGTAGTGACCATGCTTACTTTAGAAATAAGTTTTTTAGCGAAGACAATATAAAAATTCATAGGATTTTTTTTGTGTTTAAGATCTCTTTAACAGAACTTTTCAAATATAAAAAATTAAATAACATGCCTCACCCTTTATTATCATATACTGTGAATTGCATTACTTATTGAACGGTCCTAATATATCAATAGGGAAAGTATGAAAAAGAGCTCCAATAGAGGTAGGAAGAGTCTGATTGATGAGAGGGATGACAGAATTTTGATTCGGACTGTGAAGAAAAGTAGAAGACAGACTTTGAATAATTGTGGATAATTTCAACCAACACGCTACGGACAAAGCGTTTGTTAGGGCTGTTCAGATGAAACTTCATTCTCATTGTATTCATAGACACAAAGTAATGACTATTGGAGAAACTCAGATAGTGATAACAAACGAAAATCGTCTGTTTGTGTGGAGAACATGAGAATGTTTTAGATTGTCTTGAATGGCCATCACAGTCACCTGACCTCAATATCATTGAAAATGTCTGGCTAATTCAAAAAATTCGACTGAGATAATCACTGGCAGCAATTAATCCAAAAATGTTTTGATCTCTGGAGTTATGAACATTTGGTCCTCTCTAACTGTCTCTTATATAAGAAACTTATACTGAACTATGGAACGCCATAGCTGCCTTACGTGGCTATTTCATATTATGCTGTAGTTATTTTATATGAAGATAATGCTCTTTAATATGAAGGTGGTGCTCTAATATATGAAGATGGTGCTCTTTTATATTATGCTGTGGTTATTTTATATGAAGATGGTGCTCTTTTATATGAAGGTGGTGCTCTATTATATGAAGATGGTGCTCTTTTATATTATGCCGGGTTATTTTATTTTATATGAAGATTGTGCTCTATTATATTATGCTGTGGTTATTTTATATGAAGATTTTTTATGTGAAGGTGGTTTTTAAAAGATATTTAATGTCAAGGTATTCCTCATATTTTTGAAGATTAAATTTAATACTGAGTTTAACAGCCATTACCTCGGAATGTTGAAAATAAAACAAATACTAGTACTAGTAACCGATGTATTTAAAATCATTTGAATACACCACTGCTAGTTCCTCGTTTTTTTCTTAGGTACTTGGTTTCAGGATGGTGTATTTTGTGTATTAAATAAATGTTTTCCCAAGTGTGTCTAAATACACTCGAAAACATAAAATAAAAATGATCACTAAGATTAGCACTTTGGAAGATGTCGTCTTACTAAATATAGTACATGTAAGAGTGTAGGTACGACAGTTGCCATTTTTGGAAAATCTAGAGGGATTGTCTCTGTCATTCTGGGACGCCTCTACATTGTACAGTATCAAGACGTTTTTGTTTACTGCATTTCGTACAAAGTTTAAATTGGTAGACGATTGAAGGGCGTTATTTAATCATTTTTAAATGTAGATTTCACCCGAAACTCTACCCAAAACTGGTAGGAAAAGTGTAGATATTGATTAAAATCAGGAGTGAACCGAGCCGGGTACCCCGAAATTTCGAAGATTGCAACTGTCGTACCATCATTTGTCATCTTTCTTTTTTTAAATATAGACAGTAATGTGGCATTTTTAAAACCTACTGATTTCAGTATTTTTTTTATTCTATTGAGTTTATTCAGACACAGCTAGGAAATAACATAATGCACAAAATACACCATCCTGAAACCAAGCGCCTATTGAAAAAAAGAGCGGGAACTAGCAAAGGCGAATTAAATAGATTTTAGTTTTTACTTTCAATATTTAGAGATAATAGCTGTTAAACTCAGTCTTTAAAAATATGAGGAATTCCAAGTAACCATCTTCACAGTATAAATGAAAAAGCCTGATAATATAAGAACATTATTTAATAAAGCACCATCTTCATATAAAATAACCATTGAGCATAATATAACAGAGCACCATCTTCATATAAAATAACCACAGCATAATATAATTGAGCACCATCTTCATATAAAAGAGCACCATCTTCATACAAAATAACCACAGCATAATATAATAGAGCACCATCTTCATATAATAGAGCACCATCTTCATATAATAGAGCACAATCTTCATATAAAATAACCACAGCATAATATAATAGAGCACCATCTTCATATAAAAGAGCACCATCTTCATATAAAATAACCACAGCATAATATAATAGAGCACCATCTTCATATAAAAGAGCACCATCTTCATATAAAATAACCACAGCAAAATGGAGTTTTATGAAGAGACTTACTTTTACATTCGACAGCTGATTTTTACATTTTAGTAATGGGAGTTGGTCACAGTTTAAATTGTAAAAGTCAGTCGTCGAATGTAAAAGTAAGTCTCTTCATAAAGGAGTTTTATGAAGAGACTTACTTTTACATTTGACAGCTGACTTTTACATTTAAGTGATTGGAATTTGTCTATATTTAAATTGTAAAAGTCAGTCGTCAATTGCAAAAGTAAGTCTCTTCATAAAACTCCAAAAGAGCACAATCTTCATATAAAATAACCACAGCATAATATAATTGAGCACCATCTTCTCATGAAGTAGCCACATAAGGCAGCTATGGCGTTCCATACTGAACAATTCCAAG